AATCACCATGAAACCAGTCATCACATCTCCCACAGCCAACCATAAACCTGTTGCCATGGGGTTTTTTGCAAAATCCACACTGCTTGCTGGGAGTCCACATATATTTGCTTTCAAATGAAGAGCTATGATCAGAGCCTTCTCTTTTTATGGTAGCTATATTGTCTGGAATGAACAATGGTGGCTCATCTAAAGAAAAACTTTTGCTGCTTCTTCTTTGGCGGGGTTGTAGGTTCTTCTCAGGTTTTTTCAGTTTCAGTTTATCTTCCTCCTTAAAATGCTCAATGCCTGGGTGTTCAAGCTCTTCCTTCATGTGACTATTGGTTTTCATTGCTGGGGCCTGTTGCTGAGGCTTATGACACTGTTTCTGGCTGGAATGTGCTAAATGTCCAGTTTGTGCAGGATGATGAGATTCTCTCAAGCAAACAGGATGAGCATGTGGCTTATCACTCAAAGAGTGAGTTAAGGGCTTGATAATCTGTACTAAAGTTTGATCCTGTAATGTTTTTTTCAATACAGAATGAGCTTGGTTTTTCACAGATTTAACCCCAGAATTGCAACTCTGAATCTTTGGCTCCTTATCAACTTGTTTTTTTCTGACTTTGACTGGCCTATGAAAATTTTGCTGAGATTCTGGTTCATCAGTATTTCGTTTCACACTTTTGACACTAACTTTAGTTTTGCTGTGCATTACTTCATACTTTGCTGCAACAGTTTTCTTCGGAGTATCTGTAGTCATGTTTTGCTTAGAATGAATTACAGGTTTTGTATGTTTGGGTTTTACACTTTTTGACTCTAAGTAAGATACACTACTTGACTGGCTGTTTCTGTCATCCTGAAGGCTTGCTGTTTCATGGGACTCTATTTTAGTACTTTCTACAGCATTCAACTGTTTTGAATTTTGGTCAGGCACATCACAAATAGCATTTTCCAAAATATTACTTTCTGGTTCAAAAGCATTAGTATCAACCACCTCTAAGTTTGATTTATTCAACTCAGTGCTCTCCAACTGCCTATTAGATTCTGCATCTTCACAATAACCCAATGGTTCAATTTTATTTCTTTCAAGGGTGTTCTCAGCTTTATCAGCAATATCCATGGTATCCTTCAATTCCAAATTACCTTCAGTCACTTCATCCACACAACTAGGCAAACATACAAGGTTTTCTGTCTCATTTGGATTTGTACAAGCAGCGTCACCAGAAATACTAGAAGATCCAGATTCCTCAAGAATGTGGTCTTCTTCACGGGATAATTTCACCGACTCCTTTGATTCCTGTTCAACTTTTCTTGCTGCTATCATTTCTTCAACAACATTCTCATCCATTTTACCTGAAATGGAATCATTCTGTTCATGTTCTTCTTTATCTGAAAATTGAAACAATGGGCTACCAACAGTCTTAGCTTTACATTCCATCAGAGCCTCATTTTTCTTTTCTTCAATAGTAACACAAGTCTCTGAAAGAGGTGAACAATTCAATTCATGAGATGGCACATCTGCTTCTCCCTGATTATTACACTTATGCTTAGAATCTAATCCAGCTTCATCCTTCATTTCAAGACAAGATGACACTGAAGAATGACTTGAAGACACTGATACTTCGGGTACAACTTCAATTTGTCCACTATTTCGGCTGCTCCTTCTATTCTCCTTATGGTACTCAGGTTTCAGTGATGTACAAACTTCTTCTTTAACCTGACTCCTTTCTGGTTGTTTCACTCCTGCTTTAGGGGTGGATATACTCTTCCCAGATGCTTTTTTTGTGTTACTTAATGGTGCTGCATTTGAACGCTTGGCAATAGTGCTCTGTCGCAAACTTCTTACTTGTTCTATCACAGGGGAAAAAAATAAATAAAAATACTTAGCTATTTTGTCATGTGCTTTTATTCCAGTACAATTTAGAATACATCACTTCTTTACTCTGAGCTATAATTTGCTCAAGAAAAATGTACTGAATAGTACTCATAATGGTGATCATATAATATATATATTAACACGTCAAATTTTTTTATTTATCGAAGTTCTCTGAATTCTAGCAGAAGGAAAAGCCTCTATAAAATTCAGACTAATATTATACTTTATTACAAGAAACATTTTCATCAAATCTCTTTTCCATAAAAAGTAACCTGTGAGTGAAGTAAAATAAGCTTCCTTTACCCTTAATGCCCATATTAAAACAAGACCATCATGCATTTTTAAACATTAAATATTTCTAAATTTATAAAACCAAATCAATTCCAGTGCTAATGAAATCTGAACTAAAAACCTATCACAAAACAACATCTGTGTGAGTTTCAAGACACAGCCTCAAACTAACTCTAAATCCTTTATCAATGGTCTTCTCACCATTTTAACATTAAAGCTATTCCTAAGAAATGACATCTACTGACTGGGCACCATGGCTCACGCCTATAATCCCAGCACTTTGGGAGGCCGAGACGGGTGGGTCATGAGGTCAAGAGATTGAGACCATTCTGGCCAACATGTCAAAACCCTGTCTCTACTAAAAAAAAAAAAAAATATATATATATATATATATATATATACACACACACACACATACACACACACACAAAAAAAAAAAATTAGCCAGGCGTGGTGGCATGCACCTGTAGTCCCTGCTACTTCTGAGGCTAAGGCAGGACAATCACTTGAACCTGGGAGGTGGAGGTTGCAGTGAGCCAAGATTGCACCACTGCACTCCAGCCTGGCAACAGGGCAAGACTCCAACTCAAAAAAAAAAAAGAAATGACATCTACATTAGAGTACCACACACAGATCATCAAAAAATAAACACAATTTAAAAGACTTACACCAAGAAAATGTATCAGGGAAAAATAAGCATGAAGAAAACGTAAAAGCTTCCCATACAATGCTCCTAATAGTCTATTAAATGAGAAAGTCTCCTTTCCCTATTCTGATACATCCCCTTGTATCAGGAGAAAGGAGAAACACAAAGCAAAAAGAACTAAAAAGAAAGAGAGCTAAATAATTCACCATACAAAAACAACCCACAAACCGAATTTGTCACCAATCACTGAAATGTGAGAATCTTTAAAAAGGTAAATGTCCAGGTGCTCCTTATAGTTCTGATGTTATTATTAATGGCACACTTGTCATTCTCAAAAGTATACCCAATTTGAACAATAAATTATATAGTCATCCTAATCAAGAGACCCCTTTCAAATTCCCCTAGGACTTAACAAAGTATCTGAGTATTCGTACTTAATAACTTTTAAAAATTATTTGGTGGATTATGAACCATTTATCACATGTTCAGTTACATAATTTTTTTAATACCTAAAATTTTAATAAAGCTTTGTTTCAATATTTAGGTAATTTTTAAAACTTTGAAGACAGATTATAGTAATTTACAGATCTATTTTATTCACCCCTGAAATGAAACAAATGAAGGATATTAACACTTACTACACATTAATAAAGATCTTTTAACACCCAAGTGGTTGCTAAAAGTGACAAGGGAACAGTATATTCAACTGTGAAGAATATTCAGATAAAAAAAGGTTTTCCAATAGTAAGCAATTTATTAAGTAAAAGCTAAAGTCACTTTTTCACCTCTAAGTATTAACTGCTTTAGTTTGAAGCCTGACTCTAAAGGCAAAAAGTTACCATTATTTTCCTACAATGTTCATTCTATTCTTTTCATTTCTCAAGTCACATGTCTATGCCAAATAACTGACTTTGAACATGTATTAAAAACATAAATCAAATAAGAGATGATGAAATAAATACACACATCTAAATTTATTCACTTCTCAAAACCCTACTGAAGTTGTAACAGCAGGATATTTTTTGTAAAATCCAAAAGGCAAGGAAGAACGAGACAGAAAAAACCACCAGCAAATTTTGGAAACCAAAAAGAGTTGATTACCAAGTAATTGATATAAGAGACCCAAAAGTAACAAACACTATGCTGGCAGTATTGGCAAAAACTACCACCATTAACACCAGAAAAGCTTTAAGAATTGGTGGTTCCAGACGATTCTAAAGTGGGAGTGAAGACAAATGGTTAATAGTTGGAAGAGTTGAAAACTCCTTAAAAGAAGCAGTTAAATTACTAGATCCCTCTTTCCCCTACTCCATTTGCTGGGCAACTTCCCTTCCGTAGTCCTGAGCCAAAACTGGTAGTTTATTCTGTGGAGATAGTAAAGCAAGGTTTCTAGACTAATGAACATGAGGCACAGTTGAGACTAGCTGTGAAGTAAACTGAAATTTTAAGATTAAGTGAATTTGTATACACTGAAAGTTGAGAAAGCCCAGTAAGTTTCCCTTACAGGCTTTATAACATACTAGCAATCTAATATGCCTATGGAAAATTACCTAAATTCTGTTATGACGGGTTCTACCAAATAACAGTACAGCCAGATTATTATACACCGATGCTCAGAGCTGGTAAAACCCAATTTCCACACTTAGAAGTTTCTTAATTTTAGTTCCCTATCCTTAAACATCAACAATAATCAAGGGTCAGACATTTCAGGAAAGCCTCCAGGAATGATAGAGGCCAAAAACTTTAAAAAACTTTTTTTTACAATAATGCAACATGTAGAATTCAGAAACTACAAAAGGAGACAAAAACTGTTTAAACGCTATTAGTATCTTAATAAAGACAAAAGAAGATACTACATCCATGAAACATAAATGGAGAGCTACAGAAAGGACCATTCTCAACATAACAAAAAAAAATATTTAAGAATCAGAAGTACAAAACCTGATTGAAAGGTTGGAGGATAAATATGAGAAAATTTAAGCACGTAAAAGAAAAATTACAAAGAGGTAGGAAGTAGGCAAAATAAAATGGGCCTGTTACGTGACAAATAATAAAGGTTCCAGAACTCAAGAGCTAAGAAAATAAAGAGAGGAATTAACAATGAAATAATTTGAAAAATTTTCCCAGAATTGAACAATAACATTTTTCAGACTAAGGTGATGTACTAAGTGTCTTAAGCTCCATACACAAAATACACCAAAACCAATACACATCATGAAATATCAAAACACCAGAGCTGAAGAGAAAGATTCCACAAACTTCCGGAAGAAATCAGGTAATATACACTCCTCTACACACAAAAAAAAATCAAAATAAACTTCTCAACAACTCTAAAGTTAGAAAAAAATAATGCAACACCTTCAGAATTGCAGAAGCAAAATGATTTGCAACCTTGAATTTTATGTCCAATAAGACCATGATTCCAGTATGAGAACAGATTATATACAAGGTGAACATACAAGGTTTAAAAAGTCTATCTCACTGCTCCTTCTTCTCACAAAACTACTGGAAGAGGTGCATCACCAAAATGAAAAAGTTGAATCCAGAAAGAGGAAATAGAAACTACAACAAAAACACAAAGCACCAACTTCCAGAAGAAATGGTAAAGGGAGATCCCTGAACAGCTTTGCATCAGCCTTAGAGGACTAACAGGATTCTGTCTACATAGGAGGGAATCAGAAGGTTCCAAGAGGTATTTTCAATAAAATGAATATGACAGAATGCCTGAAATGCACAATATCTCTAGGGTAGATTTAGACAACTGGCAGAGCAGTTTAAGTATAACTACTGATATGTATACACTAAACTAAGCAAATGAGAAACAAAAACAAATCAGAAAGACAAGAAGTTACACAAGAACAGTAACTGTGGTTTATCAAACGGATCTTCTCTAACAGCATATCACTCATAGTAACATAATTACCATTGATCTGACAAAATTATATATTGGAAAAATGAAAAAGATGTTCTTTTTCACCATGAGGACTCCAGAGTGGTCAATCAACGGATGAATAATAAATCAGAATAAATAAAAAAACACAACATATGCATGTTATCTAGAGATATAAAGGTAAACACACACACACACACGCGCGCGCGCGCACACACACACAAAATTAAACCAGCTGAGTTACTAGCGGTTTCCTCTGGGGAAGGAGAAAAGGGTAGTGGGGTGGTGGGTACTATAAATTTATAAAACAAACTGATATGATCTCAAAACTGATTGTCATCAAAACAACTGGATTAGCAAAACATCAAGAAAATATGATTTCTGCTCAGCAGGTTTATAACCTAACACATCTGTCCCTATACCTCAGATTCTCTACCTAGACCTCTTTGAAAGGATTACCTTGTGCCATTAAACGAGGTGATTTTCTTGGTGATCTCACTGAATTTTCTTCTACCTTTTCCCTTAAGTTCCTGTTAGGTAAAATCAGTTCTTCATCATCAATGGTATCATTGCCACCTTCTTTAACAACTCCTTCATCCATAATATCGTCAAGACCAACAACTAGAAAAAAAAAAATTAATTTTTAAAAATATCAGGGATGTTAGGAAATTAAAGGCAGTACAGAAAATATTGTGAGATACAGTCTTAATGTAATACTACATATCTTGAAAATCTAGAGTGTGAAATTTTCTAACACGTGAAATTGCCACTGCCAAACTCCCAAATCAAGTCAGTTTTATAAACTTCTACCTTGTAAGATAATTAGTCAAAGAGAGTATTAGCTATACTATACTGTTTCCTGATTTGGCCTCAAATATCACTTCCATTTATTACTTGCTGACCCCTTGTGAAAGACACAGGTGACCATGCCTAGAGTACTGAAGTATCACAATTTTGGTTAAGGTAGTACAAGAGTTCCATAGCCTGAAAAGCTTGATTCTAGGTTCATGATAGAATAAAAAAATTTTACTTCTAAATGGGATCCCAATACTCTACTAGAGACTTTATGCTACATGTATGAAAGTAAGCAATGTAGATGTACTTTTGACTAGTTCCAAAAGAAAAAAAAAGGAAAAAACATTTTAAAAAGAGAGAAAAATAAATGAAAAACATAATGTAACTTCCCCTTCCCCCAAATGCTGAAGAAAATAGATGTTTAATATAGTTATATAATTACATTACCTTCTAGTCAAAAGAGAGACGGAGTCATGTATTTAATTTGTGGGATGGAGGAAGAATGTAAACAGATTCAGGAACATTCAAAGAAATAGTAACACTTTATTTATATTGTCATTAGGTTTATTTCTGTATGGAACAAATGCCACTTAACTAGCCAACATCTATCAGTAATTCTAAATGTGCAGTTGTATGAAATCTTGCCAAAAAGAATGTGATTATTTAGATCAGAAGGTCTGGAATCAAATCCTTACTAGACATTAAAAAAAAACGAAAAAGAAAAAAATACTCGATCGAGTCACTTAACCTCTCTATCAGTTTCTTTACCTCTAAAACGAGAATAACAATACCTGTCCTACCTACCTCACAGGGCTGTTGTGAGGATCATGTGAGATGATGTATGAGAACTCACTCTGTAAACTTTAGAGCACTATACAAATGTTAGTTATTATCTTCATCCTAGGGGTTAGAAGGAACCTGAAGGAGTTATCTAGTCCTCATCTTTGTGTCCAAGTAGAACTTCATTTAAAAGAGCTCAACAAGATAGTGGTCTATCCTAAAATTTAAAAAGAACAAAATTCTTCATAAGTTTACTTTTAAATGACACAATCTTTTTGAAGAGCAATTTGACAACAAACAGAATCATGGAACTGCTCATATGCTTCGATCAAAATAAATTTAGAGAGAGGAAAGAATGGATTGTGAAGAAAATGCTGACCAGAAAACAGTGTGATTCTTGTTAGAAACAAACATACAAATAAAATGCACACGAAAACAAGACTGGCAGGAAACAGAGGAAAATTATACCAGTAATCATAGGCAGTAATTCTTATCTATAAACAGATAAGAATATACTTTTTCCTGTTTTCCAAATTTCCTGCTATACGCATGTATTGTAAATAGAGCCTATGTTTTTAACCATTAGGCTATGAACTTAAAGTTTAGAGAATATGCTTTAGAAAAATTAATCAGGATTAATTTAAGATATAATTTGTGTAAAGACAGGTAGGAAGTCCAATTAGGCTTTTCCACCATGATGCAGTATTTGTTTCCATACATTCTCCATTTTTTTTGTTTTGATTTTGTTTAGTTTGCTTTGAGACAAAGTCTCAGTTTTTAAGTTTTGAGATGGGAGTCTCAGTCTGAAGCCCAAGCTGGAGTACAGCAGTGGGATCTTGGCTCACTGCAACCTCCGCCTCCCAGGTTCAAGCGATTCTCCTGCCTCAGCCTCCCAAGTAGCTGGGATTACAGGCGCGTGCCACCACGCCCAGCTAATTTTCGTATTTTTAGTAGAGACGGGGTTTCGCCATGTTGGCCAGGATGGTCTCCAATTGCTGACCTCAAGTGATCTGCCCACCTCAGCCTCCCAAAGTGCTGGGATCACAGGCATGAGCCACCACACCTGGCTTCAAAAAAACTTTTGACATTAGATCACAGTCTAATACATTCCTTTAAATACAAAAATTTTAGGACTACTTTTCATTAATTCTCTATAAAAGCATATATATAATATATTCATTATACAAAGATGCATAAACTAATAGGAAAAAATGCAATGAACTGTTCAATCAGTGATTATCTTTAGTTGTAGGTAAGTAAGGAATTTTGCTGTTGCTGTTGTTGTTTAACCTTCATTACACTGTCTCTGAGTTTTCCAAGTTTTCTATAATGAGCATGTATTCTACAATGTAAACAGGAGAAAAAAGAACCATCCAAAACAGAAAAACAGACCAGGAGGAAAGGCTGATTGACAGTATTTGTTGACAGGGAGTAAAGTCATGTAATGAATTTTACGACTGTATTACAAAGCAGAATCAACAGGACTTAGCAAGCCAAATCCAAAGGCCAATTATCAAGTTTTAAATTATTCCATATCCTAACAGCATCTGACATAACCGATTCCTCTCCACTCTTCGAATCTGTTTTTTTCACTTCACTTCTGGGATATCACATCCTCCCATTCCCCTAGCCATTTGTCAACAGCCTTTGATAAAGCCTTCTCTTCCTGCAGACATCTACATACTGAAGCATCCAGCAGTTCAGTCCTCCCACGTTTCTTCTTTATCTACACTCATATTCACTCACCCCTTCACACTCACTCATCCCTAAGGTGATCTTATCCAGGTCCATCTATATCTAATGATTCCCACAGGTATTTTCTCCAGCCCAAAGCTCACAGTAGACCTTCAGACCAGTGTATTCTGACATGTCCATTACATTATCTAGTAATTACCTCAAAGTTAACATATGTTTATTTTTGATAAAATCAACACTGATTCTACCCATCCACCCTCTCCCTCAAAAAACTGTTCCTCCCAAGGTATTCACAGTAAACAGAACCTCCAATCACCTAGGTCAATTCTAAAACTCTAGAAGTTAGCTTAGCTCCTCTCCCCATATCCGACAAATCCAAGCTATCAGCATATTCTGCTAGCTTTATCCTGAAAATTTATCACACGTCTGACCAGCTAACATTGCACTCCCAAATCACCATCATCTCTCATCAAGACTGTAACAGCCTCCTGGCATCCCAGGTTTCTCTACTGCCATCCCCTCTCCCCTGACACAGTTTATTCTCCACATAGTTATCATTGTGATCCCTCTAAAATATTATGTCAGATCACATTAATATTCTTCTGTTCAAAATCCTCTAAAACCTATCCAACATATTTAGACATAAAGTCCAAAATCCTAGTCAGGGCCCATAGGGTCCTATAACAAGATCTTCTCCTGCCAAATTCTCTGACTTCATCTCCTCCCCCTACTGATTCACTCTCCTCCAGTCACACTGGCTTTTCCGGAACATAGGGAAGCATACACTCATCTCCAGGTTTTTGTACTTGCTATCCCCTCTGCACGACGGCTCTTCTCCCAAACAATGATAACTCACTCTTTCCCTTCACTGGAGTTTTACTTAACTATCACCCTCTCAGAGAAACCTTCTCTAACTACCTTCCGCAAAACAGCACTTATTCCCATTACTGCCTACAGATCCTTAGCACACTTTATCCTTTAAAATGTTTCTCTATGTAACATTAAGTATCTGTTTGAGGATCTTCTACATTAGAGTGTAAGCTGCACAAGTAAAGACCTTTGTCTCTTATTTGTGGCTGAATCCTGAGAACCTAGAATAACAATCTTGTATATAGTAGATATTCCAGAAAGCATGTGCTAAATAAAAGAATTATGGGAAAAGACAGATTGGGAGAATTTAAACCTTGATGAGTGAGAGAAAATATTTCTATTGACCAAAGAGAGAAGTTGGAAAGAACAAATTTGGAAGTAAAATACTGACTTTATTTTTTTGATATATTGATGATATGAAGGAAAAAGATCAGGCAAAAGACGAATCAAGATAATGCAACATCACAAAAATTTCAAAGTAGTGGGAATCAGGAAGGTTAACTGCTACACAGAGAACAAATAAAGTAGAAAAATCCACTAGTTTGGCACACAAAGCAGAGAATCAGATGACGAAAGGTTAAGAAGTAAGTAAATGAAGAATGACAACAATTGTAGTCGCTTTTAAGTTTAATGGAGGGAAGTGGAGAGAAGGAAGGGAACCGAAGAGGGAAAAATCAACAGATCTGACTATGTTCATATGTGCTAGAAAATAACTTGAAAGGTAAGTGATGCCTTGAGGTTCTATCACTGAAAATCTTCTTGGTCAACAGACTACAATTAAGATAACTAAGAGCAAATATCTGATGTTTCTCAAAGGGAAGATTTCCAAGCATGCATCTTTTTTTGAACTCCTGCTCCTCCTGGGAACATACATTCTTCAATCCATTTCTCCATTAAATCAAGCTCTATATTGCCTTCAGAGTTTCCAGACCTCTCATGTTGAACAAGACACCCAACAACAGAAGCACCTCTAGTATGTTTTTTCCTCCCTCCTATATTCCAGAACTAGGTACTAGGTGCCATTCTCATTCCCCTGCCCCTAAGTCTGACACTTAATGTCGCCTTTATTATAGAGTAAATAACTGACCTAGAAGGAGATAAGCTGGGTTTGACCTCTGTGCTGCCAGCATAATTATCAGATAACAAAATGTGAAAAATTCCCTACTAGTCCTGCCTTAATTATCCCTTCTGTGTATTAGAGTGATTTAAATCAATTCCTACTGTTAAGAAATGGAATAAATGTAACCCCAAAGGGTTTTGAAATTTTGGCATAAAATCCATGATCATACTCAGAAATTACATCACATTAAAATTTCTCCCATCCCAAATCCAAAATGCCCCAATTAAACTTGCTTAAGTGAATTCCTCCTGACATTGACACTATTTTTAACTCCAGATTAATTTAAACCTATCTTTTTGAAAACAGGAGGCAAATGAGATAAAGAGAATAAAATCAAACCATTCAGAGTTAAATTTATTGC